ATACCCAGTGAATTCAGACACAAACTGATACATCTTCTGACTTCCAAGGAAGCAAATTCTGCTGGGTTACTATGTGTCTCTTGGGATTTGAATTTTTGAACAACCAAACGCTCCTATAACTCAGAGGTGAAATGGTTAGTTCCCTCAGTGATGATCCTCAGAATCTGGGTGTCATTAGAGCAGTGTTCATCATGGTGTCTGCCACAGAAATTCAGCAATTTATCAGCACCTTCAGATAACTGCCTGATTTACTTGGTCTAAGGACTCCCTTGAGATATTCAGAGGTATGGTAGATAGGAATATAAAGTGTCATCTGTCCATCACAGAGAGAGAGGGCAATACTACATTCACAGCTGCAAGATAGTACAAAAAACACTGAAAACTTCCTGATGGAGCCACCTGTTTTCTTTTTATTCAAGTGAATAAATATTCAATTATCTGTAGCCTATACCTATGAAAAATCCAGAAATTCTGTAATAGAGATAAAATATGATGTCTAGCAGACAAAATAAATCTCCAAGCAGGGAAGAAAAACAAACTAAACAAAATCCCAAAGCCAAATAAGAAACTCAAGCATGAAAACCATGCATGCAACAATCAATTTTGACACTGAAGCACAGGGTTTTTGATTAATTCTGTTTTCTAATTGCATTTTATCACTTGGAATTTAAATGACACACTCTCTTGTGAAAAACTTAGAAATGGTGAAGGAAGCATAAAAATTATCGCAGCAAGGATACGCAAAAAAAAAAACAGTGAACAAAACTGATTTATTAAAGTATCTGTGAAATAATCTAAGCTTTGTTGGAAGCCTTTGACATTAGCTACCATCAGTAAGAGAGGTTTTTCTCATGGAGGTATGAAAAATTAATTTATGGAGGAGTTAATTCCATTTGAAGTTAGTTCTCCCAGATACTAAAACTGTAGTTTTTAAAAGTTCATATATTCAAATATCACTCAAAGATAGCGCTGAGTAGATAACTTATGCTAAATATCTATTTTGTATTACAGTCAATATATGAAGCAATATTCAAAAACCTCATTACCAAACAGAACATTCCAATAAAATCACAATATTGACAGAGCAGAGTTTCCAAGCCACAAAATTGGCACTAATGCAAGGAGGGATTCATCACTCATCCGCCCCTGATTTTTCATCCAATTACTTACTTTTATAGACTTTGCTTTATAATATGAATTGAATTAGTTTTAGTTTAGTTTCACAGAGAAAAAAATGGTGCTTTTCTATTGGCCACAGAAAGTGTTCAGAATTTATCAGAATTTACATCAAGTAATGAAGCAGTATAATAAACAGTTTCTAAAAAAAACCTTGAAAGCATGATTGCATTTCTTCTTTTTTGTTATTGCTTTCAAATTATTAATTTAGACTTAAAGAACAAGCACTTATGACTTCATAAATTAAAAAAAAAAGTATATTCTCTTTTCAGAATACTTTTTTCTTAAATGTGCTTTTTTACTGTGAAATCACTGCAGAATTCTTCTCAAGAATCAGAGCACCTGCCCAGTTTTCTGGTTCACTAATCTCTGAGTGCATCCATTACCCCCCGCCAGATGTTCTTCCTAGATAATATGTATTTCTGTGGTCAAAGTGTAACTACTAACCAGAAATGAAAATTTCCCTCATTTAGAGGGAGAATTTTTTTTTTTAATTTCATGAAATAATAAAAATAGTGAAACTAGCCTTAAGCTGTCCATTCATTTTGTGCCTTATACTCTCTGCAGTATGCAATGAAATGAGCTCACATGTTGGTAGCTTGTTTAGGAAGACTTCATTAAAGATTTTCATTAATATTTTTCTTCTCCTTTCTCATGATGGGATATAAAAAATTACTATGTATCTCCCCACTGTAGAATTTTTTTCCTTGATGTATGGATAAATTTTCAACTAATGTATATCTTAATGAATAACTATAGAAAGCACTAAAGACAGTTAGGTAAAGCTTATAGTTATAGCAGAAGCTAAATATAGATGCATTCATAATGCTAAGAATTGAATTAATGCTTAACAATAATTCACCATGACCTTGATTTCATTGTATGGTACCAATTAATCATTGTGATAAGATGGTCATCATTCTCAGAACAAAGCCAGGATCACTCAGCACTTCATTTTTTTTAGGTTTTTTTATTTCTTTCAAGGTATGGGTCAAAAATTTGGCATATCTACCAAATCCATTCTATTTTGCAGCACATGTTTCTCTGTCACCCAGTCAACATTGAGAAAATCTTAGCCAGCATTACATTGTATGGCCCTTGAAATAAAAAATTCATCATCATTTCCTGAACAGTCACTTAAACAATTAAAACTGATTTTATATTTTCTGAAAGGAAAAATATTTGCTCAAACTATGTAAAAATCACTGAGCAAATACTGAATTTTAAGGGAGCCAATTCCTGTTATAAATACATGATATAACAAAAATCTGATCTGGTATTGCCTTGTTTTCTCTTTTCTTACAAATATACCTAGAGAATTTCTGCAATGATCAGTGAACAAATAGTGGCAAAAATCACTGGGATTGCTCATGAGACTTTTGAATAATCCTGGAATTTCTGCTTCTACAAATTTCTGTTAAACTCTTATATGTGATCCATTTTAACGGAATAATTACCTGCTCTACAAAAGCCATTAAGTGATCTTCATCCTTTATTAGCCTAAGAGAAGAATGAGTGTGGACAGAGCTAGAATAGTGAGAGTGAATCTTAGCTATGAGCTAGATTCTTTTTTCTTTTTCTGAAAAAAATTCTAATTCACATCAGCCATGTTGTTGAAAATTAATTTCTTTTGCACATTGCTCTGTTTCACTGCATCTTTCTTGGAACAGGGATTCTCATAACAAGCTATTCTAATTTTTAAGTAATAACAATAAACTTTGACTATTTGACAATAGTCAAATTGTCACAGGTTCGGTCCCTTAAAATACATTAATTTCATTTTTTATAAGGTATGTATATGGTTTTTGTAAGAAACTACAGAACTACATGTATTAATTATAGGTGTGTATCCACATTCATGCAAAAAGCTACATATATGCAAATATTAGATGAAAAAATAATTTAAAAATTGTAAAAAGTTAGGATGACTGGAGACTGTCTCCATCTGTACTTCTTCTATGGTAATTGTCCTGTAATAAAAAAGTGGATTTCCCCTTTCCTAGCTATAATGCAATTCAGTGTTTTGGCATGACACACAGCTCAAAACAGCTATTTTATATGTCTTTAAAAGATATTTTTTGATGTATCTTTTGTACTTTGCTTTTGACTTTCAGTAGAATGAATGGGAAATGAGCATCAGTTTGACACTCAAGGTTAAAACTGAGGTCATGCCATTAATCATATTTATGATTTACTCCTTCTGTCTAAGATTTCATAGCAATGTGAATCATAGCATCCTGTTTCTGCTGTTGTTGGTTTTGTATGTAGATATTGGTCTTTTTGACAACTGACTGATTCACAAAAATTGAGGGCAATGAATGGAAAACCTGAGCTAGTATTCAGATGTGGAGTTCTATTGTTTTTCTTTTGCAAACACTACTTAAATTTGCACATACATTTGACAACACATGATCACTCAATAGAAAGGTACCAAAATGTCATATCAATAAATGAAGCTAGACACACCTTAGGGAATCCTAAAATGTACGTAGTTGTCTTGTATTAAATGAAAATAGAAAATCCAGTTTTTAATCTGTTAGTTCAGCATTTATTGCAGACATGTCTAATCTCAACAGCTCCATAAATGGTTTATGACATTTCCCATGTTTACATGCGTAAACATGCATTATTATCTTTTTAGCAGTTTTCATTTTGCAGGTAGAAAGCTAAACCAATTGATCATGTAGGCAGTCAATCAGCATAAAATGTTTGGGAACAGTTGACTTTGTCTCTTATGACCTAATTAAAATGCTGAGATATCTCCTTTTGATTTCTAGTCCTAACTTCTAGTTTTTAGCTGTGACAGGGAAACATATAAGAACATAGCAGTGTTCCTGGAAATAAACTGGCAGAATTGCACCTCTAGGATTTTGAAGTGACCAATAATCATTTTAACCATCTGCCTTGGTTTATTTATGACCAAGGTCACCACTTCTCTTAGTCACCACCAAAAGATCCTAATTTGCCCCTCTTTGGGTCAATATTTCAGAGCTATGAGCTGAGTATTGCAAAACATTTTACTTAAAAGTTGATCTTCTTTATTTCAATTTTTTATATTTGATACTTATTCTCTTGCAATTAAAATGTTTCTTGAGACAAACATAATTTAAAAGGCATGTTTGACAACCAGATGCTTCTTTCTGTGATTACCTTCATGCATTTTTAATAGGGTAAAGAAGATTCCTGAAAGTACCACTCATTACATAGTTCCTAATAATCTCAGTAATGCCAAGATTCCATCTAATCAGATACTTCCACTTACTGCAAATGAAATTTCATTTATAAAATTTTTACTTTTTAAGGTCAGCTACTCCCAAGAGTATGCCTGAGCAGCTCACAGGGTTTCTAAGGTTGTTTCTTTCCATACCCGTAGCAGTTACGGATATTCTGTTTATTTTGGCAAAACTAAAAAACCTTTTCTTTTGCCTTTTAGCCTCTCTGTGACATTAAGTCTCATATAATTCCAAAAGTGTTCTGACTTCAACTATATGGACCGCAGGAGATTTGTTCAGGGGCCTGTGTGGGTGTCACAGGCTGTCTGCACTGCAGTCAATTCTTTCCATTGCTACTGACCTTCCATTGACTTTCAGCTTTTTTTATATCCCCTCCTCCCCTGGAAGGCAGAAGTTTACACACAGCACTGTGTTGTAGGGGGATAGAACATAAGTAAATGAAGGAGGTATAGAATGTAATCTTATCCCCTCTAAAGAGTTGCAGCTGAGGCAATTACTAAGGATTAGGAGCAGGCCTGATGTTAACAGGCCGCAGCTGTAGCCAGTCAGCAGAGTGTTATAAAAGAGTGGATTGGGCAGCTGAGAGGAACTGGAGACAGTTGGCTGCTGTGAGGAGGACAAAGGAGAGTCAGTGCCTGGAGGAGCTGCCTGCAAGAAACATCGAGGAGGTATGAAACTCTGGCAATATGGAACCCTTGCAATGCAATGATAGCACGTTGTGACCATGGGCAGCCAGAACGCTGCAGAGAATTCAGACCACTGAATTTACAATTTCTGTGAACTTTAAAAATTCCCACCATTCCTAAAGCATATTTTCCACCCAGTTATTGGGAGATAAAAGGAATGTCCGTGCCTTGAAAAGGTCCCAGTTACATCATACAAATATTTAAAGGAGTTATTTGTAAATGCATTAGAGCCAGCTTGCAATTTAGCCTTCATCCAAGCCTAAAAACTAGCTAGGTATGTACCTAATTGCTCCTGTCTTTTAATCAAGCCTGGCCATTGCAGTTTTCTATCAGAATAAATACTTTGCTGAAAGATACCATTTATTAACAAAAAATCAGTTTCAGTTCTATTCACTGCCTGTTAAACAAAAGGTAGGTGTATAATCAGAAGGTCCCTATGCTAGTATGTCTTCCAGCATTCCTATATAGAAGAGCAAGTTACACTTGTTTAAATTTCATTAAATTGGATCAATGACAGGGGAGCTGCCCTCATTTAACCATAATGAAGTGCAGGAACAAGTTCCAGCTGGAAGGAATGTGCTGGTGCTGAACTGCCCTGTATGGATGCAGCTCCACAGCAATCAGCGAGTGAGCGCTTTCCAAATGCTCACACAGCACGGATGAGGCTGATGGGAGCTCTGCCATCCCTTCCACAGGGCCAGGACCTCACTGGGGGAGAACAGGAGCTCAGGAGAGACTCTGCTTACAGACTGAGCCTCCTCTTCCTGCTCTTGCTTCCTCTCCTGACACTGCAGAGCTGAGATGAATTGCTGTGTGCTCCAAGGAATGCTGATCCAGTGGGACTCTTTGATACCTTTCATGGGGCAGGTCCTCCACTGAGATTTATGGCTTTGTGTTAGAGCAAAAAATGGATTCTTTGCTCTAACACAGGGAGTTGTTTACCTCATGCAGATGAATTTTATCCCTTTTGATCTGAAGCCTGACCGCTGAGGGATCTCAGTTACCCATTGCAGGATTTTTATGGCAGTTTAAGGTAGATATTATGACCTAAATTAAACACAGCAAAATAGGTGAAGAAAAAAAAATATTTTTAGGAAGAGTTCAGAGGAGTCAGTAAATACAGTTTTTTCAAGAAGAAGGGGAAGGCATAGGAGAGAGAGGAGAAGGGAACAATGACACTTGGCATAAAATGACTTAACCAAAGGGAAAATGTTGCCTTCATAAACTCATTTTTGGACAATGATTAGAACTAAGTATTTTGTGACCAAGAATGGCATCCTGACTGAATAATGGACTAAAACTATGAAGTTAAAAGTATGTAAAATCTTTTTAATATCTGTTGGTAACTGCAGAACAATTTTACTTCATCCTTCTACCATCAAGGAGATTGGATAAATGAATTTTAAAGCCAAAAAAGTCTTTTTCTTGGATAATGAACAGAACAGATAAACTTTTCAAGAAAGAACTCTCTGGAAAATTTCATTATTATAATTATTATTAGTATTAAAATCATGTATGGCCTGATCTTATGTGCCCTGTGTCTTTGGAACTTCAGTAAATCTTTAGTATAGTGAAACTTTAGTAAATCTTCAGAAAAATATTAATTGACAGATTTCTCCCCATGTTGTTTGCCAGTTGATTTTTTTAAAAATAAGATTGGGCAAAAATATTTGAAACTCATGTAATTTCTCCCCTCAACCCCTGTTCTCCTTGCAAACAGGCCTTGGTTTCAGCACCCCAAAGGTTCAATGTTCAGACATCTGCACTAGACCAAATCCATAGGAACTCAGGGGTCAGGTAAAATTTAATTAGCACTAATTGTCTTCCATTAACTTGAAGCAGAGGGAAATTCTCCTGTTCCATCACTTTCTGTGGAAGCCTGGTGACACTGCTAACTCCCTGAATGAAAAGTGATGTGTCATAGGATAAGAAAATATCCATGTGTCTTTCAGTTCACCAAAATATCAGAGGCTTTCAGGGGTTTTATTTGCAAAAGTGTTTTTTGGCACTCATGGAGGTCTCTTCTGATGTATTTTTATTTTGTGCTGCTGAGCTCTGGACTCGTAGGGGAAAAAAATAATCTTTTAACACTATTACTCAGGGCTGTCCAAATTCCAAAAACTTTTCCCTCATCCCAGCCCAATTTCTCTTTAAAAGCTGAAAATAAAGTTTAGTAAAACAAGCTCTCCAATAAAGATATCTATGAAGTATCAGAGGGATACTATATATCATAAATCATAAGTAATTCAGTTTCATACTTTGTCTTCCTAACAGAGCTCAGAAATATTCCAGAACAAGATGAGTTCTTTATGCCAAGATGTTATCAACTCCCCACACCCCATATTAATGTGAAAAACCTAATTCTCTTAAAATGTAATCTTTTAACTTGAACAACATTTACCACACATCCTCTTTTTTTTCTACCTCCTGTGTCTACAGTCAATATTTTCAAAAGTCATAATTACTGATCATAAAACTGAAAATAAAGGAAATCAGGTAGATACAGAATATTTCTGTGTCTTTATCACTGCCTTATGACAGTTCTTTGAGCATAGTTAAAACCTATACACTTAGAGGGAGTTATCCCATACAATGCATCCTCTTGGGCCAACTGCCACCTGACCTTTATTCTGTCCAGTCACTTTTTTTTCACTTTTTTGGAGGCTTTTCCTGAATGAAGGCTCTATTTTTGTACCAGAAAATGTTTCAATTCAAAAAAGTTATCCCTTAAATTCAGGGAAAACAAGTCTGTCTGAAAACAACATCACACTGCCTATTTACACGCTGGCCAATACTGAATTTCAGTGAGGGGAGATATGATGGGTAACACATATTGGAAAATTTGTATTGCCACAATAATTAATCATGGTGTCTTTGACATGTTTGGCATTAGAAAAAGCTGAAGATGAATTTCAAATGCACATTGCATTCCATAATACAGCTCAATGGTGACTTGCAGAATTTCTTGTCTACAGCTAAAAAAAGATTAACAGCTGGCAGAAATGCAGTATTATTTAACTCTTGTGTAAGGGGCACATTTAAAAGGCACTCAGAAGTATCCTTAAATTTTATCCCATCTCTTTTGTAACAAGAATAAAATTAATAATTTTAATCATGTATCAATTTGATTAGTAAAAGGAAACATGAAACTAAATATATAAATAGATAAATAAATATATAGGGCAATAAAACAAAGTGTAATACAAATTATAATACAGATGAATCATCATATATTGGAAAACATCAGGACCAATCCTTGGTCTTCTGTTTTCTAGACTTCAGGATGAATATTAAAGTAAGAGTCACTCTCTTAAAGGACCCAATAGATTTCAAAACTTCAATGTGCTTCAATCTGTGTGACTTGAGCAGTAAGAAAAATATGGTATTTTGATAACTCTTAGAGGAATATGAAAGAGAAGCAAGACAGAGCTATTCTGGAAACCATTGAAGGCAAAAAGATAAAATCAGAATCAATAGGTATATTAAAAAAACCAACAAGGAAAAAAACTTCTAAAACAAAACCCCAAAGCCCCCTTCTAACCTAAAACCCAAAGCAAAACAAAATTTCACCCTGTACTCACATGCTGTACAAATTAGTATTGAAAACTGAAAATATAAAAAATAATTTCTTAGATTAAGAATGAAACCAAACCTTAATGTCACAGAAATGTAATTCTCTGCATTCCTGCCATGTGATGAACTCCACACCTAATTTGTCTTCACACAGAAAGATTTCATCAGAACTTGGAAATTCCAGCTTTGTTCACAGGGACTGGGATCTACATGCCATGCAGGGGAATAAACTTGGCATAAAACTGGGGAGGAAACCAAAGCCAACCTTTATGCTCAAGCTCCAGCCCTTCATCTTTCAGCACAAGAACCTCACAAAACAAGAATATTGACAGCTGAGAGACAAAGTCTTCTGTTAGCAAAAACACAGTTCAGGTCACAGCTACCCACAGAGCACTGAGAGAGTGGGGCAACTAAGGAATGGATATATCTGCAATTTGTTTTAAAGGTTTTTTAAAGCAGTAGGGTAATAGTGCATATGTTAAACATACTGTTGATAAACCCTTAAATGTGTGAATTCCACAACCAGCATGTGACTTCAAAAGGCAAACATCATCCTGTTGTGTATCAATATAATTTATGATGATGTTCAAGATTTCATGGCTGTATTGAATTAGTAGATTAAAAATTTCTATGATAGGCTATTTTTGTGAGTTTTTCCACAATGTCAAGCTCTTGTTCCTCCAAAGTAGATTAAACATGAGGTTGATACGTGGGTAGTGCTAGTTTTAGGAAGCTTTAGTGCAGTATATTTCATATATTTTGACTTCCTTAGTAAGCCTTCACTTACTATCAGATAATAAAATAAATCATTAAATATGAAGAAAAAAACAAACCAGATTTGTGGAGTTGTGTGCATTTTTCAATCAATCTGTGTCCATTTTCCCCTTTCAATGTGAAATTTTCACAACTAAACCCAGAATAAGCAGCCTCAGTCATTGAAATGCCAATACAGATGAAAATTATTATATCAAATGACAAACTAGTTTCCTTAATTTCCCTGCATTTTATTTGGCAATCTATCTTTTCTGTACGCAGGCCCATTCTAAAGTGTTCCTCATCTTGTCTTTTAATTCTGACTTTCATATCTCTGATATCCAGAGAGGATAGATCTCTTGGCACTCCAGAGAGTTCTGCTAAGCACTGAAAATGATGGGGAGGTGTGTTCTCTGGCCTTCTTGACTGATATATCAGTAGCATTTTAAATAATAAATTTTTGACCTCTTAGAGGATGAAGAATGTCATGTAGAAAGTGTCCACCATACTACCTTTTTTGTGGTTATTAAGAAAAATCTTTTCCAAATAATAATCAAATAATTAATCACAGGAACAAGTTCCAATCACTCATTAAAAAATGAATATTAATAAAAAAGAAACTCTTACCTTATAATTCTCTTTTTCTTATCTTCTTCCCTTCACTGTTACCTTGCTTTTGAGATCTGTATCATAACACCAATGCAAAGAGTCATGATTTTTCCTCTGTCTAGATGTGAACATTTTTCCCTTTTTAAGTTTCAATCTCTTGAAAAATTGTGGAGTAGATAACTAAATAAAGGCAAAAGGATTTTTGTTGTAGTTGTTGTTACATTATCTCCTCACACAGTGGGATGTGATTGGAGAGAATTTTGAAAGACACTTGAAAAGTTGCTCCTGAGTAATAACAGGACAAATACAGATAGCAGCAAAAATGTTTTGTTTCCAGAACATTCTCAGGGAACAGCAAGATTTTCCTGTCAAACCTACTGATCTTCACTAACACTCCTTTTTACTTGAGAGCTAATTCAAGTATAATAGAGAAAATCTCTGCCTTTAGTGATGATAAAAAATTTTCAGAAAGATCTGATCCATGGTAATTAAGTCATAGATATGTGAATGACAATGCTAAATTACAGTGGTATGATTCTTTCTCTGCATTCAGCGAATTTATTAAATGTTCATTTCATATTGAATAACAGTTTAATATCTAACTGTGGCTTTGCTTACCACTCCTTTTGAGTTCAAAAAGACCTATACGGTCACCAGTCAGAATATCTTTGGGAACTTCCCGCCTTCTATAAGCGGGCCACATTCTTAACTTCCCACAGTAAATCACTGCAAAAACCAGGGAGCTGCACCCACAAGCCTTGGGAACTCAGATATCTCCTCTAGTAAGAATAATAATCCTACTGAAGTTTCCTGCAATAAATGAAGGTCAAACTAAGTTCAGAATCATTTAGAATGAGCAATAAATCCTGTTGTCTGGAAAATGTTTATTCTAACCACTAAATAACACTAAATAACTGAAGAACTTCAAGAAATACATCATTTTGCTCACATCAATGTCATGCTACTTAAATTTTTCTGTAATATTTAATCCCATGCAGCACACTGGAAGAACAATTATTCCGATCATATTGTCAAGTACTTGAGATAGCTCTGTACTGAAAAAAAAAATGCTCTTTAGTATACATTTCCTTTGATAATCAGTTAATCAATGAATTCTAGAGCTTGACCTCTACTTCTGCTTCCTTGTGAACATTGATAGAATCATAGCACAGTTTGGGTTGGAAGGGACACTAAAGATCATCCAGTTCCAATCCCCTGCCACAGGCAGAGACATTTTCCACTAGACCACGTTGCTCAGAGCTCCATCCAGCCTGACCTTGAGCACTCCAAGGACAGGGCAGTCACATCTTCTCTGGGAAAATTGCTCCACTGCCTCACCACGTTACCCATTAAGAATTTTTTCTCAGTATCTAATCCAAACCTACTCTCTTCCAGTTTGAAGCCATTCCCCCTTTTCCTCTCATAGTTGCTCTTGTGAATAGTCTCCCTTCATCTTTCTTGCCCTGACCACAGTACAGCACCTTGCACTTTGTCTTGTTAAACCAGATGGGATTCCCGTGGTTATTCTTAGTGGCTGTTCGCTCTTTTACACATAATTGCATGAATATCACGAAATCTTAACAGACTGTCTATTCTCAAGTCCTGCATGTATGCTACTATAAATTCCAAAGCAAAAGATAATCTGTCTGCAATTCACAGGTTTGCACAAATATTTGAAGAGAATGAAGAAATTAAAAAACAGAATACTTGGTCCAAATGAATCAGTTCCCCAGCTAAGAAATTACAATTGTGGTTTAAAGTTTTCCACAGATTTATATAAAAATTCATGTAAACTTTTTTAATTTTAAACTATCAAAAAAAAAAAGCTAATAAAAATTTGCCAATTGAGGAACTACATAGTAAACATTTGTAATTTTTTATTATTTAGATCATGCATTCTGGTTTCAGCTAATTCAATGTTTATCTATGTTGTGAGAGGTTCAGATATATGAAACGCATATTTGTCAGTAACCTACTGTTTATGATGTCTGCAGGACAATTATTAGTAGAATTTTTTTTAATTTCTGAATTTGGACAGTAACATATTCTTTAATATAAAGTACACCATATTCTGGGTCATGGGATTCTTAGACATGTAACTATACCTGTCATGATAGTTTAAATAAAAAAAGTGCACCTCCTCTACTTTTGACTATCTTGTATAAAGCCAAAGGTAAATATAGATCCAAACACACAGACTGAAAACCAGAAATAGATGACCCAGTTAGGAACTTCATAAAGCATCTTTCATGGTAATTTAATTTATTTGTGGACAGAAGGTTAAAAGGAAGCCCCTTAAGGTGTTGGGATGGTTCATTTCCATTGAGCACACTACATGGGGGCTTTACAGGTAGTTTTGGTATGATAAGGACTTAAGGCTTTGCTGAATGATGCACCCTGATGAAGGTTGCACCTAATTTCATGGCAAAATTGGAGTTTTCCCCACAGGCATGAAAAAATTAATGAACTACTTCCATCAGGTTTATCTTGCAGACATGCAGAACACAGGACTGGTTTTAGTGCTGGTGCTAATTCAGCATACCAAGGTCTCTGTGCTCTACTGGGACATTTGAGATCCTTTAGCCCTGAAAGTGCTGCCCCAATGCCCTTGGCCATTCTTGCTGAGGTGTTGTGAGGGTCCCCAGGATGGGGTGAGAGATGAGAAGCACACTCCACTTTCTTAGAAGGTAGATTTATTTTATTATGATATTATGTTAAAAGAAAATTATATACTAAAAATATACTAAAGAAAGAGAAAGGAGACATCATAAGGCTAGCAAAGAATGAATAATAAAAACCCTTGACAGACTCAGCGAGTCTGACACATCTGGCTGTGATTGGCCATTAATTAAAGACAATTCACATGGAACCAATCAAAGATGCACCTTCTGGTAAGCAGCCTCCAAACCACATTCCAAGCAATCAGATAATTATTGTTCACATTTCTGAGGCTTTTCAGTCTCTCAGGAGAAAAATCCTGGCAAAGGGATTTTTCAGAAACTATCATGGTGACCCATTCTCCCTTTCCAAATATTCTCTTGTGTTACCATTCCCCCCTGGAATCGCCCTGGGAGGGCGGCAGTGCAGCTCTCAAGGCTGAGAGGGGTCCCTTGGTGGATGGGTGAAAGTTGCATCAGCTTCACATTTTAGAAAGCACTCTGGGGTCTTTGCAGATGGAAAGTCCAAGTTAATGATGCTTAACAGCATCAGATCTGGATGTTCAGACAGTCTGAATATCCAGATATCAGTTCAACATCATAAACCTCACACTTCTCACATTTTCAAAAAATATGTGTGATGAATGCTGAGAACATTTAAATATATATTTTATACATTAATATACTATTTTGTTTCCCTTGGTTTGCATTTAAGGACTAGGTCTGTGGAAGAAATTAGTATGTGATTTCTTTTTCTTAATAAATCAAAAGAGATCATCTATTTTTATGTGTTCTTTCACATGACAAGGTTGCAGGTGCAAAGAAATGCAAATGTATTTTGTTCAAGACCTTAATTATTTTTATGTCACTCCACAGAAAATCCCCATAAATGTCAAATCTGTCTGAGCAGTTTTTACTTTTACTATGCTATTAGGCTCTTTAAAAATAGTTCTTTATTAAGAAAGGTTTTTTATATGTTTATTTTGTGAGTTTGTTAAAACAAGACCTTTCCTCCTTCACAACAAAGCCTTTTCTGATATCCTTTTTTAAAGACTGTTCTGCCTTAATTTGTCTTCGAAGTCCTGTAGTAAATTCAAGTATCAGGATGAGAAAAAGTTATCAAATGTGAATAAAAACCACACCCTTAGGGGCAAATCTCTGCCAATAGTAAAAGTTATTATTCCTAGATACAACAGTGTCATTACTTCACTATTAATTTGCCTGCTCACTTTTAGCTTTCCATTATCACATGAACTATTTGATAAAGTGTCGTATAAAGCATTGACTAATCTAAAGATATAGAGAATGGCTCAGACAAGTGGCTAAGCAGTTAAAATCACCTTTATAAAGAATAAAAGCCTTTGTTTATTTAGAAAGCCAAAATGGTGTAGAAATGAAGACTGTATGGTGCCCAGAGGCTGCTGAATTCAGAACTGCTGTGGGTCAGACAACAGCAGAGCACTGAGCCCCTGGGCTCTGCCCTGACCTGCCAGCTCTGCCTGTGCACACAGGGGATCGTCCCCCAGGCTTTCTTGAACCACCCTAGTTAGGTCACTGGGGTCAGAGGATAAAAGCAAATTCAGTATCTGAAGTAATGCTTAGGGACTCTAGTCCAAA